TTTTTAAAGAATATAAAACTGCCACTCAGCTGGCTTGAATCAGTCGTTGAACGTTGACCTATGAACCAGGAGGTCACGGTTCGATTCTCAGTTAGGGCACATGCCCGGGTTGTGGGCTCAATCCCCAGTAGGGGGTGTGTAGGAGGCAGCCGATCAATAATTCTCATCATTGATGTTTCTATCTCTCTCTTTCTCCCTTCCTCTCTCTGAAATCAATAAAAACATTTAAAAAAATATATAAAATTGTCAAGATACAAATATGCACACACACACATACACACACACACACACACTTAAAATGAGACAATGCCAAGTAATTAGGGGAGTTTTACATTACTCCTTTGTTAGAAGAGAAAAAAAGAGCTTTAAAACAACTGCTATCCTTAATCTATTGGATTTATCTAATTTTCACTGCGGAATAGAATTTAAGGAAGCATGACTTTTAGAGAATTTTCAGACACTGTTTTGATTGAGATACTTTATGACAAGAAGAAAAGCTGAGTCTATGTATCCCTCTCTATACATATTTATTCACACTAATGAAGGAGTAATCTAAGGCAACTGATTTACAATTTAGATATATATTTCCATTTACTTCCTTGGAAGATAAGACACACTTGGATGTGTTAATCTTAGACAAAACTGATAAAGGTTCTTTTTGACTGAATTTTATCTTAGCTCACTGGGCTAGCTAAAATTGGTCATTGAGGTCCTGAATGGCCACTTTCCATCAATGTCTCAATTTGCGTTTTCCTTTGAACATTTTTTTTTTTTTTAATTCTCACCTGAGGATGCTTTTTCCATTGCTTTTCAGAGAGAGAGTAGAAGGGAGAGAAAGAGGGAAAGAGAGAGACAGAGAGAAACACCCATGTGAGAGCGACACACCAGTTGGTTGCCTCCTGCACACGCCCTGACAGGGGCCAGAGATCGAGCCTGCAACCGAGGTACATGCCCTTGGCCGGAATCAAACCCTGGACCCTTCAGGCCACAGGCCAACACTCTAACCACTGAGCCAAACCAGCCAGGGCCTTTGCACCTCTTTTAGAATCCTTTCCTGTCAGCTTCCCTCTTCCTTAGCCAAAATGACTTTTGCTCAGATTAAACTCCATTACCTAAAGGAATGAAAAAATGATGATTTCCTGGAGGCAGCTATATTTGAAAAGAACAGCATTTCCTAAACAAATCTCTAATCAGCAAAATGTCAGGCAAGTTAACAATCTCACTATATTACAGGTGTTTCCCTTATCCCACATAACATAGGTAATGGTGCCGTGGTTCTTCAAACTTGTGAAGCCATGGGACTCGCTTCAAACACAGTCAGGCAGCAGTCCAGTGGACAGAGGAGATGCGGATGAAGGTGCTCTGGTGGGAGCAGGGATGGGATCCAGAACCTTCCCCATTCACCCAGCGTCTCTCCACCAGCCATTGCCTGTGTTCTCACAAATGCACACGCCATGCGAGAGGATGGGTGAGTGATACACACGTAGCTAACTCACAGTCCAGCCGCCTAAAGAGCCTCATCTGCTGCAATAATCAATCACGTTCCCATTTTTTAACACTTTGAGAATGTAGTGAAATGAGAAGAGAACAGAATAAGCCATTTCGATTTTGTCTATTATTCTGTTTCTATCTTATGTTTGAAATGTTGGTGCGTTACATGGTTGTGTTGTAAAATAAATATGGCCAACTAAGTACTACTAAGTCAGTCGTACTACTGCTAGCTCCTTTAATGTAAATGGTTTTGCCCTAATTTGGGTTTTCCCTTACTCGTACTTTGAATTTAATCCAACCACCAGAACAATTGCTTTCTCCTCTGAAACAAAACTTCCAGTGGTATTTTTGCAGCAGTGAAGATTTTGAGAAAGGTGGCCTCCAGAAAGACCACCCAGATCCACGCTTACATTCTCACCCTGCAGGCACCTCTAACCTAACAGTTTCCAAATCAAACTATCTTGCCTTTCCCCCAAACCTGTCCCTCCTCCTGGTTAATGGTTAATGGTTCTGCCATCTATCCATTCACAAAGCTAAAACCTTAGAGTTGCCATAAAACAGCACCATTAAATTACTGGGGCTCTAATCTAGGCATATTATGTGTCGATCAGGACTTTTTGACTTCAGCACTGTTGATATCTGGGGCAGGATGATTCTCTGTTGTGGGGGCTGCCCTGTGCGTTGCAGGTGTTTCGCAGCATCCCTGGCCTCTACCCACTATATGCCGGTAGCCTGACCCCAGCCCCTTCTAGGCTTCACAATGGAAAATGCTTCCAGGCATTGCCAAATGTCTGCTGGAGACAAAAATCAACTCACTTTGATAACTACTGATGTGGATTATATCTTTATTCCTCACAATATCCAAAAAAGGGTTGTAACTTCATTTCACATTGTAAAGATGTGGAAACTGGGCCTCTGAGAAATGAAGAGACTTGGTCAAAGTTCTATATAAATTGTCTCCCTTTCTCTCTGGGCCTCTGGTGCTCAGTTCTTTGCATCTAGTTTTTTTTGTTTGTTTGTTCTTTTTCTCTTTTTTAAATCTAATTGTGTTAATTTTTCACTTGGAATATCTTGACTTTGCCTCCTGCTTTCTATTTCCCTTAGCTCAGACCTGCATTCCTTACCTAGGTAATAAAAACTGGGCTCTTAATTTATCTCCCAGATTTCAGTTTTATTTTCAGTTTCCCTTTTCCACTGCTAGCAGAGCTAGTCTTCTCAAACAGATATTATGACATAACTGCCCTATTGGCAACCGTCCCTGTGACCCACATTGCCTAGGGCAGTGGTCTGAAAGGTGGTCCTGGTACGAGCAGCATCTCCTGGAATCTTAGAAGAAATGCAGCTCCTCGGGCCTCATCCCAAACCTATTGCATAAAAAACTCCAGGGTTAGGGCCTAGCAGTCTGTTATAATACACCCTCCAGGTGGCTCTGATGCTTGTTAAAGTTTGAGAATCTCTGGCCTACTTGAAGAGCTCTAGTAATGCTGTAGGTGCCATGGAAACCCTGACTTCCTTTCTCCCTGCTCCTTGCCACACTCCCTTCTCCCCTCCTGTCCTACCCTACAGATTTGTCCTGCCTGTGCTTCAACTTCATTCTTTCATCAGCTATCAAACAAGTATCTCTGTTCTAAGCACCATACTATAGCAAGACAATTCTGCTCCTAAATGGATCACTGGCCTGGGGCGGGGGTGCTCAGCCCCCCACCCCACCTGGAGTGAGGTCCACATCTTGCCATTTTAAGCCCCAAGCCTCTGCTATGGCATCTCCTTCCTGGTAAACTCCTATGTCTTCTGTGGCTCATTGTCAAACGTCCCTTTTCCTTGAATCACTCAGGATAACTCCCAGTTTCCCTGAGCACTTACTAGCTTTACCACATCCTCTTGTTATTTCATTTATCCCCCCGGTGGCTTTAGCGGCCCTTTACCTGCCCCCTAGAATACAGGTTATGTGAGGGAAGAGCCTCCTCTCATCTCTGTCGAGCCAGCTCTGTGAGCCTGGTGATCAATCCAGCACACATCAGGATCATCTGGGAGCTTTTAGAAAATGCCTCTATGCCTACAGATGCAGAATCCTGCAAATCCGTATTTTTAAAAAATCCACACACTGTAGTCGAGTCGCTGCACAGTGTCTTGCACAGGGCAGGTATTTCATCAATATTTCTTCCATGTCTGATCAATTACTCAGCGAGGCCGCCTGCAGCAGCCCCTCTGCCTACCCCTCAGCTTCTCAGTTTTGTGCTTTTTGTACTTTTGATTTCACTTTCCATTTCCTTTAACTTGCACAACAACCAAAGAGCAGTGAGCAGTGATGAAGGCGAAAGTTTGTTCAGATGCTTTTAAGCACTGACCTGATCTCCGGCGCCTGAACGCCGGTAGTCTCCAGCACGGAGCAGTAACCTCAAATTAGGGTTACCTGCCAATCAGCCCCTAAAGCGCCTTTCAGGATTCTAGCCACCTCGCAGCTACTCTCTCTCAGATGCTCCTGCTGACCACAGAAGAGTCACCTTTGTCACCCTCTACGATTGGTTGTGAGACTTGAAACAGACTCACCTGCAGCGGCCAAGTCAGCTCCTCTCG